TCACTACTCTAAAGGGCCCCTTTGGCAGTAGGAAACACATAGACTATTATGGAGATTGATTTTGGAATTTAGATGCACTCTTATTGATTGTGCTTGGCCATACATGTTCATATCCTTGAAGATGTATCATGGGGGTGTTGTGTTTGTTCTTTTGACAGTCCATGAGATATTCCACACTCTTCTCCAATACCGCAGTTCAAGAACATCAATTTTTTTATGTCATGCTTAGTTACTGTCCAGCTCTCAGATGCATAGCAAGTAACTGAAAAGACCATGAACTGATAAGGTGTACCATAGTCCTCAAACTGACATCATTACTCCTCAATAATCTGGAGATGTCCCTGACTATAGGCTTTCCCAGTGCAATACATCTCCTGATCTCCTGACTAATCCAAAGGTTGACAGTTCCAATTTACCAGCTGCCCCTAAGAAAAAGTTAGGCAATCTCATTACATGTTATTTATAGCTTCTGAAAACTTATTAGAGGGTCATCTATGAATCATTTCCACCTGGAATGCAATGAGTGTAAGAGTGTCTTTGTTGAGTTTCTAATTGCTCTTTTCTTCACTGAAAGATATATATTTAAGCCTCCCACTATTGCTGTCCCTGTTTTCAAGGTTATGTATATTGGAGTCCTTTCACCACTCTCTTCTCTTTCTCTGTTTCTCTTTCTCTCTGATATAATTATGTTTCCTTGGGGAATTAGCCACTAGGCCATTTGGCAGCATTATGAGAGACAGAGATTTTGTTAACTATTTCAGCTTGCTTGGTTCCACAATCAACACTCTTGGCACAAGCAGTCAGAAAATAAAAAGACAAATTGCACTGGGAAAATCTGCTGTCATGGACCTGTTTAAAATGATGAGGAGGAATGATGTCGGTCTGGAGACTAAGGAACACCTGATCCAAACCATGATCTTCATAATTACTTGCTATGTATCAGAGAGTTGGACAATAACTAAGGATGATAGAAGAATTGATGCTTCTGAGTTGTGGTGCTCGAGAAGAGTATTGAACATTAACATGAACTGCCAAGAGAACAATTAGGTCTATACTGGAGAAAGTGAAACCAAGCTACTCCTTGAAGGCAGGGATTTTGAAGCTCCAGCTCACATGTTGCCAATAAGGGCCAGTCCTTGGAGGACACCATAACTTGGAAGGCTAGATGGGCAGCACAGCAGAGGAAGACCCTGGATGAGATGGAATGATAAAAAGACTAGTGTAGAGATCCAAGATGGTGGCGGAGGCAGAGACAGCATGGTGAGTTGCGGGAGCAGCGAACCACTTAAAGCAGGGTCATTATGGCCTTCCACAGACTTCGGCTTATTGATAATTGGACACTTAAACAGTTGATGACTGGCCCTCAGTGAAGATCAAGGCTCAACAACAGGAATTCAAGGATTCCCAAGGAGAAATGGGTGAGTCTTGTGGCTTCCAACCCCCCCCACCCCCTGCAGAGCTCATGCCGCGCCGCACAGCCGCTGCAGCTCCATGAGGCTTCCACAGCCTGAACGAATGGATTCCCTCACTCAGGATGGATGCTGGGCACCAGGCCTCCACAAGACTGGTACAGTGAAGTCACCACACTGCCGCAAGGTGGACTTGGTCTGGAGAGAATTCTTGGAGCCAGGATGGTGGCTGTGGGGAAAGCGGGCGCCCGCCGGCTGCCTGCACAAGAGGGGCTGCGCACCCGCCAAGCACCTGTGCGGCGGGGTGGGGAGGTGCGCCCCCAACGGCCACCCACGCTGGGCGGGGTGCGCGCCTCCTGTAGGCTTCCCACACTGGGGTGGGGGGCGCACACACTGCTGGCCACCTGCGTAGGAGTTGAGGGATGTATGCCCGCCATCTGCAGGTTTGGGTTTCCTTGGACAGGCCAAAGAAGACGATTACCTATGCATTGGAAAGGCCAAAGAGGACAATTACCTATGCAATAGATTGCTGAAAGTCACTGTGAGTCTGATGACCTTAACAGTGACAGCATGCACAAGAGGACTGACATCCTAAATGCACCATATATTTTGTTCTGTTGAATGCTTCTGCCAAAAGATGGTTAGACCTGGGGGGAGTCTATTCACAATTCTCAGGTTCCCTTTATCACAAAAAAGGGGGAGGGCAGTGACACCTACTTCAAAATATAGTATGACCACTTATGGGGGGGGCATAAAAGTGGCAGTGCTAGAATTGGAAACACTATCCCTGACCACAGAGTCCTCAGTCAGGTGACGGGACCAGACTGGGGTAGGGGCAATTGGAGGGGGAGTATACCAGCCAGCTCCTGGGGGTGTTGCCCTGCTCAGGATGGGCTTCCCCCCACCCCCAGCTCAGGCGAGCTGTCACGGCCCTCTGCCCAGGGCAGGCTGCCCTCGGCCCCCAGCTTGGGGTGAGCCATCGCGGCCCTCTGCCCAGGGTGGGCTGCCCTCGGCCCCTGGCTCGGGGCAAGCTGTCACGGCCCTCAGGGCGAGATCCTCAGTCCTCAGATTGTGCCATCTGTCCCCTGGGTGGGGAAGGAGGAAAAAAAAAGAATGCCTAGGGTATCCAGAGAATGTTACCTAGGCCACCTTCTGCCACCCTCCCCCCCAGTAAACCTGAAAGCAACACCCTCAAAGCCCTTCTATTTGTAATTCACAAGTTTGTTGTCTCTAGGTTTGCTCCCTTTCCTATAGGTAACCTTAACACTGAGTTTTACTCCAGAATTGACCCTGAACCCAGAGCCAGTGACAAAAAGGAAATACAACTGACAGCTAAGGAAGCAAAGGAGGATGGAGCCTCTGGGTTCAACCAGCCATCCCCACTGGACCCACCTGGGAAAACACTTTGCAGTCCAGAGGGGAGCAAATGACAGGAAAATATCTTCTAACAGAGCAAGAAGGCAAGCAGCTTTAACCCAAGACCACCAGTGAGGTGATAAAGCGTCCTCTCTTCCCCCCTTTACATCTACGCTCCTGTTCAGCATGAAGAAGCCAGAGAGTCGGCATCCAATTCCCAAATCAATAAGACAGTTGGTTTAATTACTATTGGAAAATGCATGTCATTCCTCTGTAGCATCTGGTCCCCACTGGACCCTCACTCATCATTTCCTTCACCTGCTCCCCCCACCGACTAAACTGTGCAGCTCTGCAACTCTATCCTGGCCCATTCTCACCCTTCTGCCCCAAACCCTCACCTCCTTGTACCCCCAATATGTTTTTCCCAATTAAAAAAAAAAACTAGTGTAATGGGGGGAGGTGTGTTTAAGATGGTGAAATTGGCTCAGGGCAGGGGAGGATTCCAACTTTCTGTACAAAGGGTCACTATGAGTTGAAAGTTATTTTACAGCACATACAACAATTATAGCTGGCTGATTATAAAGCTTTGATGTCTAGCAGGTTAGGAGTTGCACTGGCAACGAATAGACTAGAGGTTTGAATCTACCATCTGCTCAATGAGAGTGAAGTGGGAAATCTTCTTTCCAAGCCACTTATAGCCTCTGAAAAGTCACTAGACAGTCAGCTATCAGACAGTTACAATTTTACGGCTATTATGTTAGGGAGTTGGTTGGGCCATTCTTCAATCTTTAAACATTAATCTCTCTTCTTATAGTCACTTCTGCTATTTTTTCTTATCATTTGCTAAATATGTATCATTTATGTAATCCTTTCATTTATTTGTCTGCTTTCAAAGTGTTTTTCTTGTAAATAGTGTATTATTGATGAGTTACGTTTTTATAACACCTTTCTACCATTCTCTGTCTCTTTATTGGTGAATTTAAGTCACTGACATTTACTGTATTTATCTTATCGGTAGCCATGAGTTTACTGCTATCGTTTTGTTGTGTATTTTCTCTGTTCTACTTAATTTTCTACATTCAATTTTTTTCTGTGGATTGTATTTTCATTTATCTCATTGTTGATAGTTTTTATTGTTTTTTATTTCATTCCTATAAACATATTGTCACAGTCATTGTGTCAATTCATCTCATCCAAGGTCCTCTCTTTTTCCAAACATGATAGCCTTCTGCAAGAACTGACTTCTCTCAGTAATATGCCCAAAGTATGGTAGATGAAGTCTAACTACCCTTGTTTCTAGGAGCTTTCTGGCTACACTTTCTCCAAGAAATTATTTTCTATTTTGAGATTTCATCGTCAAAATATCAAAGAATATTTTTTTTAATTTGGCAGTCAACTAATTTTCACATGCATATGAATCAAAAGAAAATGCCAGAAGTTGGACTAGATATATCATAGTCCTCACAGTTATATGATATTTCTTTAGCACTTCAAACTTATCCTTGAAACATATTTGTAAATGTATCCTTTGATTTCTTGATTGCTGCTTTCATGAAATTTTATTGTCACCTTTTTTTTTTACTTCTGGTTGTTTTTTTGTATGGTCTCTAGTTGCCTATTTTATCCTTGTACTGTTTTTCTAAATTCTTTAATAGTTGTTTTTTAATAGTATTTCCCTGGATTTGTTTGTGTTTTCTGTGGTTTTTATCTATGTTTTGCTTGATGTCTTGAAGGAGATAGATAGATAGATAGATAGATAGATAGATAGATAGATAGATAGATAGATAGAATTTGTTGTTATTGTTAGGTACTATCAAGTTGGAATAAACTCATAGCTGACCTGGCAATATCAAGTTGGAATAAACTCATAGCTGACCTGACAATAGGTTTTAAGAGGCTGTAAATCACATGGGAAGAGATTGCCCATCTTGTTCCCATGAAACTGCTGTTGTATTTGAACTGTGTGCCTTAGGGTTGACAGTAAAATTCCTTACCACTAGGCCTTTAGAGATTAGTCTTTTGGATTCTTTATCAGGAAATTTCATCATCAATTTCTTCTTCCTAAAAGTTGTCTGGTTTTGCTTTGTTTTTTATTTTTTCTTTTATTTTGGTCACTTCCTGGAGCCATTGATCTTAATTCTTTTTGTGCTTTCTTATCTTACTTTTTGTGTGATTTTATAGTCTGTTGCTGCCAAAGAATTCAACAACTCAATTTATTGTTGACAAGGTGGTTCTGACTCACAGCTGACAAACCCTCCATCAGGTTTTAGAGACTGTAAATAGAATGAGAGAAGATTGCCCATCTTTCTCCTGCAAACCCACTGGTAGCTTTCAATCAGGAGAGAGGCACAGCCTTTGAGTTGAGAATGCAACTCCCTACAAATTATATCAACGGAGCTCTTTTTCAAAGGATTGCTGTTGTTGTTGAATATTTAAGAGTTGGAACCAACCCATAACCGATCCTCCAGCAGGTTTTCAGAGGCAGTAAATCACTCAGGAGGAGATTGCCCATCTTTCACCAGTAGAGTAGATTGATTTGAGCCTCTGCTTTAATTTTTCTGGTTTCTAAGCTTATCTGAGTAGGAGCAGTTTGCATAATACTTTTGTTTTCTTCTATTCTGTCTGCAATGATGGAGACACTGCTTATCTTCAGGAGGCTGGGGCAGCATCTGGGTGTATGAACACAGATCTATGTTCACTGGTCATGAAATAGAATATGTAACCAGCGTTGCTAATGAGATAATGTCTGCCTCTCTGTATAGCCTATGTGCATGCAAGCAGTGAAGTTTCTTGTTGGTCACTGGGCTTGGTGTTGCATGTTGTATGTGTGCACTTCCAGTTGCTAGGAAATAGTGAGAGTTACCTCCTCATCAGCCACCAGGTGGGTAGTAAATAACACTTTGACCAATGGTCTGGGGAACACAGCAAGCACTAATCTCTAGCTGTAGAAGTGGGGGGCGGGGCAGCGTATGTATTGTATGTACTAATAGTATTCATGCCCATTTATGCTGGCATGTGATAAAGGGGCATAGAAGGTGCCATCAGTATTTAGGCCCCAAACATAGATGTCTGGGTATAAGAAGTGTAGCATTTTATTTGTAGGCTTCCAGTGAAAGTGACTGAGTAAAACAGTAGGCTCTTACTTTCTATGAACCCCTGGTACAGGTCATTGGGGCATAGATTGGTGTCACACTGACTTCCAGTTCTAGAAATTTCAGTCCAGAGGCTGGAATCACCAATCTATGGTTCATCAGTATGAATGGATGCATAAAATGCTGACAATTGTAATCTGTGGGTCCCCAAGTCAGGGGTCTGGAGAATGATGGGTGCTACTGGATGAAGAAAAAAAATCACGTATTGAGGGTTTAGGGACAGATGAGATAGATCATTGAGGGAACAACTACAGTTTCATAAACTACTGGAATAGAGGGTTGAGGGCTGAGAGTGTATGAAACAATTGTTATTGTTGTTGTTATGTGCCATCGAGTTGCCTGTGACTCATAGTGACCCTATGTACAAGAGCCCTAAGCCCTGGTCTATCCCTTGCCAATCTTATTGTCTCCGATACACCTATCCACATTACTCCAGTGACTGAATCAATCCATCTCATCGAGGGTCTTCCTCTCCTATGCAGTCCCTCCGCCCTCCCAAAGGATGTCAGATGAAGCTTCAGAATCCTAGCCTCCGAGGAGCAACCTGGTTTAACCCTCTATATGACGAACTTGGTTGTTCTTCTAGCAGCCCATGGTGTATAGTCAACACTCTTCTCCAGCACCACAGTTTAAAGGCATAAATTCTTCTATCATACCTACTCACTGTCCAGCTCTCTAATACATAACAAGTAATTGCAAAGACTAAGGTGTGCCTCAGGCACACCTTAGTCTCCAGATGGACATCATTGCTCCTCAGTACTTTGGAGAGTTCTCTAATAGCAGATTTTCCCAATGCAATACTTTTTTAAAATTCCTGGCTGCTGGTACCAAGAGTGTTGATTGTAGAGCCAAGTAAACTGAAGCTGTCAGCAATCTCAATCTCTTCACCATCTATCATGCCAATCGGCCCAGTGGGGAGAATCTTTGTT